CGACCCAAGTTCATTGTGGAGGATCTGTTCACTACATCCACTTGTACTATGTATGAGATTGAGTCTATTAAGAATGAAGTGGCAGATTCGAACTACGTTGAAATAGAACCTAGCCAAAGCGATACCACGGAAAGGGAAAGGAGATCTCTAGTAATCAGTCGTTGGATCAGAAGGCGACTGGCAACTTATGCGAGAAAGTTCGTCTCATCTCTTAGTGTTGATGATCCGGAATCCTGGACTCGGTAGTTTAAATTGTAAATTGTTGTAAATAATAATAATTAATATGTTATCAAAAATTTTATCTGTTTATAACCCTATTGGTAATGTTGAATTGCAAATGAGCATCTGGCTTATAAATCCACAAAATGGAAAAGAGAAAGCTAGCATTATTCATAGTAGGGGCAATTTGCAAACTCCCTTATTGTAAGATAGGAAGGAGATAGAGTCGAAGACAAATGTGGCCATTTATCTAAGGAGAAAATAATAATAAAGTGGTGTGATGTTAGATAATGATGGTAGAAAATCGATAAACATCTGTTAGGTTGAAAAAAGGTAGAAAAGTGGGTTAAAGCAGTGAGAAATTTAAGAAAATCGTCAAACAGAGGAGGTAGGAAATAAGGATAATACAGCCCCTGTCCGTTAATCACTTAGTCCTGAAATGGAGTGCTCATTATAAACAAGCGATTTTATGCAGGGTACATTCTAACGGCATAAGACAAAAAAAACTCGGCACGTGAAACGAAAATTGTCACTAAATTAGGATACATGAAGAGTTAGAGGAAGAGATTCAGACATCCTTCTGAGATTCGAATGTTTATCACTAGAAAATGATACCTAAGCATAGACAAATTGCAACTAGGTTGAAGGAAACTGCATCAGGGTATACGATACCACCAAAAAACACCTAAAAAAGCTAAAAGAGGTCAAACTGCACTTCTTTAATTCATTTAGCCCGTGGGTGACAATGAAACAAAACATCAATCTGAAGTCGACTGACTCAATTAACCCGTTAACGTCCGAATTATTCTGGTTGACAATAAAAAAATATTGGATTAGTGATAGAATTGGGTTTCCTTCAGCCAACAGAGTTAACTTATGTCCTCAGTTTCAAAGAAAGAAATAAGACCTATGGTTTTTGATAGAGCGGAAATATTATCCCTCCTAACACTTATTTATTCATCCATTCTGTGTGAGTCATTTAATAATAAAATATATACCACTGACTTAACGATGGCATGACTACTAAACGAGTAACATAGCCTTTTTGAGCACTCTGATGTTACAAACAGGGCACACATGGTAGACAGATGTCCAATTTTATTACTTTTTGCCATAAGGTTTCGTGAATTGAAAGAACAAGATTGGGCACATAAACAGGCCTTTTTGAGATTCCGTTTGTATGGTAAACATATCTGCAGAAACAGGGGAAAAGATAACAGACGAATAAACCAAACTTGTGAATAATAGTGAACGAGAGGGACTGCAGAAGAGAGGGGGTAAGGAAATTTAAAAAGAAAAAGTCAAAAAAATAAAGAGACGATATAGGGGCATTATAAACAGTGACAAGAAGCCTTCAACTAGATAGGGCGAACAGGGGAGGGAAATTAAACAGGCGATAGAGCAGGAGGGACACACCCAAGTAAACTCCTGTTCCGCCTCTGAAACGCATAAACCCAGGCAGAACAGAAGAGGAAAAGGAAGTGGCTATTCCGCATGCTAGAATCTATACTCTGAAATAGCATTAATGCATTTGCAGCGCGTTCCCTCGAGTCGGCAATACCGGCTTCCTCTAAATTTTGTTTATCTCTCTACCCCCCACCCCCCCCGCCCCTCTCAAATGTAGAACTCGGAGTGTGTTCTAGATGTTTTCATAAATGCAAAAAGATTGGACTTTTATTCATCGAATGAACTTATTCGGATATTTCTCTAGGCCATAACCTCTGATACGTTTCAGTTGATAGTTTAATGGCTCCGGATTAGCGACTAAAATTGTAAATGAGGTTAGCATAAATAAATTCGAATTCACGTTTCTGAAACCTGGCGTGCTGTTTACTTCAAATCACTTTAAAAGTCAAGTCCTATATCCAATTCGAGTGGGGATTTACTTCTCCACTATTTTAATTACAGGAAATTATTTAAATACTATGAACATAAGGGGGAAAGTTGGAGAAAATTGAAAAATCAATAGTCACGCCTCAATACAGTTTTGAATTCATCAGATTGGTCATCTTTCTAACTCAATTTACGATTCACCGCGTCAGGAACTCATTTTCTAAATTCTAGATTTCACAGCTGGATGCTTGGTTAATTGCATGTGCGATATTCGAAACTTGCTTTACCAGCTGATCACTTAGACGGGCTTATCACGTCACCTTGAAAAGTGTTTTGGTATAACGAGCATCATTCCTCTTTGTAACTGAGAGCTTCTACACACATCCTATATACCACTGGAAAGAATTATAACAGACTTGAAGACGTGTTCCTATCGAAAAATAAAGATTTTATTCAAAAAGAAAACAGACGAAGCAAGACGCTCGATTACCATTTCGATAAGAGCGTATGTTAATCAGTACATCAGATCATATTTTCTAGGTACGAAAATTCTAGGTATGCTGATTAATTTTTATTAAATGATTGTTAATGAATGGAATTAAGCCTTAATTTCACAAGTTTAAGATGGATTAGATCCATAAATATGGATAAGTTAATATAAATACCGTCCATTCTTGAAATATCCAAATAGGATGATTGAGAAGAAGTGAAACGACCATACCAATGGACAAGAACTACAATTCAAAGCTTCCAAAGAGTAAAATATTGAGCTTGAAAAACACATTCATGGTGATCAACACAGGAGCATGAGACAAGTGCTAACTTAGGAAAGATGACTGGCTATACACCCCGTTTTCATTAGGATTCCATGGAATACAACCTACCGGAGGGCCTTGATCATCCTCAACATCCCCATTCAATGAGTCATTTAGAATAGAAGAGTGATCCAGGGTAAACTGTCGGCTCGATGAGGGTAGGTGGGCATTGGTGAACAAAGAAGGCGTTTGTCCGGCTTCAGTGGCAGTGGGTGAAGATAAGTGCTGCAACTGACGATTGCTTGACTTCCGACGAAGATCTACGGTCTCTTCTGTTGGTAAGTACTTACGGATAGCTGCTTCGCCCTTCTCGCCCTTTGCCAACTTGGAACAACTTCGTGGAGTACCTGTAGAGTATAAGAAATACGCGCGGTGATAACTGGATACTACATAAACCAGTGTACAATAATACTGGATCAACTTAACACGAGCTTTATATATATACATATATATATATATATATATATATATATATTTCAAGTGGCAGGCGTTATGATAGGCATCATTAGCCCTTTAGTTGACTTCGGGCTTCACAGAAAGGAAGAGGAACATCAAAGTGGCAAAAAGTCGATAGGGAGGGGGAACAGAATAATGATTCACAGACGTAAAAGAGACAGACAGACACAAAGGTTGGAAAAAGGTGAGGTGAGTACTGTGAAATAGTCGAATATGAAATGCAGTGGGGTCTTAGTAGTTTGAAGTCAGAAGTCAACTGCCGATTAATAGACTTTTTGTCGTATGAATATACGTTGCCCAAGGTGCACCATGTGGAGACAAGTCTATCTCACACCCCACTTAACACGAGCTAAACTAATCAATATTCACACCATTATTTTGGCTCAAAAATTATAATTCCATACAGTAAAGTATTAACTTCTGTTTAGAGGTAACTTTACATCGGTGAGCAGAAATTGAGATATATCTTACACAAGAGACAGTATTTGAAAGAATAGAAG